ATGGTCCAACATTGCTGCAATTTTCTTTTCATCAACAGATCAACCATTTCTTTTACATTTTAATAAGGAACTCTAACATGATTTAACAAGTGATTTGAACTTTTTGTTAAACAATTAAAAAGAATGACACATTTATTTATACGTTTAAATTAGAATACCCCATCACTGTCTTTACAAGACAACGGACCCCATCTTCAATCACATTTCCTTTAAAAAAAAAAGATGCGTTCCTAATCAAACTTGTACTCTTACAAGTCAAGAATCTCTTTATGCTTGAATTATTAGATAATCTACCTACAAATCACTTCCTTGCAATTTCTATTTAACAAAGCATAATCTAATGCAACGCAAATATATATATATTCAGTAGCCCAGCTCTATCCATTACTTTCTTTAATTCAATTAATTAAATTTGTAGTAAAAACCCTATCTTTGGTCCAAAAAAACCCTAAATTCAACACAATGGGACAACTGCTCCTGGAGTAAACACCAGGCTTTCATTTCTTCCGTTCATTTTTCATCTATCACCTAAACAGACAAAACAGCATTAAAAACAAATCCACAATTGACAGTCCTGAAGTTACCAGTTCTTTTCTTCTTCAAGCAAGCACTCGACTTCCTTCCACTAGCCCCTTTCAAACCACCAGATCTCTTCACATTTTCAGTCGCAAACTTCAATCTACGACACAAAACCCCTGATTTCTCCTTCGAACACGATTTTTTTTTATTCTTTCCTCTGGAACCAGCAGCAGAGCTCGAAAACCTAAAAATCCCTTCCTGATCACAATTACTCTCGTATCCGTGGCATTCTTTTGTCACCAGCGGGGAGTCAAAAGCAGGAGATTCTTGGAGGTTTTCCTCTTGCTCGCATTTTTCAGATGGTGAATGATGATTAGTAAAGACGTGTTTGGCTATAAAACCAGTGGATCCTGCTATGGCTGCGGTTAATAGAAGATTCCACATTACTGAATGCCAGAGATCAAAAAAAGGGAAAGATACGGAGAGGTAATTAACTGAATAATACTACTTAGCGTGGGCGGGCGGGCGGGCGATTAGAGAGGAGAGGCGATGTTAGGTGGCGGAGAGTAGTTGCTGCCAAGTTTGGCTTGGTCTTACATCACTTCACATGCTTCCCGCTTGTTTCAGTAAATTCGATTTCTAATTTGGAAAATAAATAATTGAGCCCTCAGGCTCTATCCCTGGTGAGAAATTAGATCCTGTTTGTTTCTGTGTTTCAAAAGCGTTTTTGAAAAAATTTAAAAATTTTTTATTTTTTTATTAACTTCAAATTAATATGTTTTTAATGTTTTCAAATCATTTTGATGTGCTGATGTCAAAAATGATTTTTAAAAAATAAAAAAAACGTCGTTGGCATGCATTTTAGCACGAAAAGCTATTTGA